ACCAGGGCCGTTTTTGACTCCACTTGTTCCATTGGGAAGTGGTGTAATTAGCGGTCCCCATGGAAATCGCTGATACTTGGGACAGAAAAGCAGATGCCTGGCAGCGCGTTCCGGGAGGCCACCACTATAGCAGAGCTGGCACATTTGTGCAAGCGCATGGAGTCCTACCTGAAGGCAGCCCGTATTGCACGCGGGGTGTGTGTGTGTTAACATGTTTACGCGTTGTCATTTGCCTATTGCATGATGCACGATGCGTCTGGCGTATGTCCCTTTTTTTCTGGAGCGGCTACCTTCCAACAGACCTGCAAGCCGGCGGCGGTTGTTGTGGCCATTTGTTTTGTGCGTGCTTTGTCTCAGGGCACAGCTATGGAAGACCATGAAAAGGAGCTCAATGAGGTGTGGGCCGGCATGCGTTCCAACCACTTGATTTGTACAGCGGTGCGGTTGCTAGGTGTTGGTGGGGGTGTTTGTCATTAGGGGGATCATAAAATGCATCATTAGAGGAGGGCAAGCCTTGAAAGCAACCAGCCAAGGTGCAATTTTGGAAAACAAGCTCAAGTGTGAGTTTAAGCCAACACGTTAAACACATCGTAGATGTCAACTTGTCAATATTCGACATTGAACACACCAACTCGCCAGCCAGGTCCGGGTCAAGCTGTATGCTCGTGATGATGAAGTCGCAGGTCTGGTGGAGCGGCTTCAGGCGAGCTGTTCCGTAGGACTGACTTTCAACGGCAGCTCCCCCAATATGCCCAAGTTGGCAGGCGGAACAAACACAAGCGGAGCAGCCGTGTCCTTGGAGCTGTTCGAAAATGTTTCCGAGCCAGGCTGAAGTTAAACGCCACCATGTCATTGTTAAATTGTTGTGAGCATGCTCACAATGTCGTTTTTTTTCCAAGTGGCTTATGGGTCATGGCTTGGCATTGCAAATCTCAGAAGCCGCAACAAGAAATTGACACAAATTGCATACATGCCCTGGTTGTGAGGAAGGAGCGTGGTTATGTCGCAAAGTTGAAGCAACAGGCAATGGGCGATGAATTGCATGTGCTCTCATTGGGTGTGAGACCTGCGGAATGTTGCTCTAAACTCCAAACTTTACATTCGCTATTGCCCAAATGGGATGCCTGAGTATGGAAATCACCACCCCTGAAACCCCCCCAGCTTGCGGCAATGTACGTTAAACTAATCCGTTTTATGGCATGGCCTGGCGTTTCTGAGCGTCTATCAAAGCAGTATGACAATTGGCTTGCCTTCCATGAGTGGGGCGAATTGTGACAAGTTGCTTTTGATGTTTCCACTGGAATTTTCGTGTTGCAGGCGGATGGTCCTACCCAGCACTTGTAAATTTCCAAAGCAATCGACCGATATTGAGCTCTTCGCCGTTACCAGGAACGACTCCGGGACAACTTGCAACGAGACCTCGTCGATGCGCAGGCGGCTTTTAGCGAACCTGTGCAGACATCTTGCAAAACTTGAAGGTAAAGAGTGCAGATTGCATACAGCCAAACCAAAACTGGCTTGGGGGCTGTGAAGGGTAGTCGTAAACCCGCGTGTTTACATACAACACGGTTTGCAACAGGCTGCAACTTCACAATTGTTCAGGGTTTACTTCGAAATGCCGTGCAGTACTTAATGTGCTCGGGGCGGCATCGGAAACCGAGAAGAAGTACGCAGCTAACGTACACAGCCTAGCCGGCACAAATTGATGTTGCTCAAAATGTTGGGTGCATGACATGCTAACATTGCTCGGCACAAGCCCATGTAACAGGACAAAGTTAGCTTGAGTCAGGTGCCAGGACGCCTTTGTGGAAATGCATCCGTGTGCTTCATATTCATGCCCTTAATATTTATGTGTGCCTGCCCTCGGCGAATGTCGCGCAAGGCCCAGATAGCAGCTCTGACCGAGAACACCCAGGCCAAGCTTTAGACGCACGCACGGTGCTCTCCAAAAGCAATGCGCCGAAGGGAGATGTTAAAATTCCCCACAGATTTTTCGGTCGCCCTCACGAATTACCCGAGCAACATTTTAAGAATGAGGGTTTCTCAAAACAGGGTTTCATCATGTTCCATCCCCAACTGCACAAGCTCTCATACATACATTTAGACCCGCATGTGTGTACAGGGGTTTTCGTCTCGGGCTTCAATGGTTATTCCCTGCTTGGAAATGAGGCTTAGAGAGTCTGATGTCGATGATGTCGTTAATTCTAATTGTCGTGCTTGATTGGCACCTTGGTCCAAATTTGGCATGGGTACAGCAGGCTGCTCGTGCAAGGCACTGCGGGGTGCTTCAGCCCTGAAATCCTTGTAGGCTTGTTTAGAGCTAATGTTAATCCAGCGCGCAGGACTTGACAAAGCAGCTGTCGGTCTACAAGGCTGACGGCGAGCCTGAAGTTTCAACAGATGAAGTGAAGTCGTGGCTGGCTGACAATGATAATGATGCCGCATGCTTGTCGCGAGGATGCGGAGGCATCATTCAAGAAGCAGACTGCAGCCTTCAGCAAGTCCAGGCAGTGAGTTGTCCTGCGATGTGGAAAGTGAAGCAGATTTAGTTGCATGGATTCTTGTTCAGGGGCCGCGTTCTCAACGCACCCAAAGCGGCGAATTCAAGTGCTGACGGTCTTGATGCAATTGAGGAGCGGGACTGTTGATTCCGGAGAGGGTCAACGGGGGGCACTTCCTTGTCTCATGTCATCCGGCTACATGGATGGCGTCCAATGCCAGCATACGTGACAAGGATTTAATTGTTTGTCATTGGCACGTGTTCGTACGGAAAAAAAAGGCGTTGCAAGATTCAAAACAACTTAGAACGCAACACGCGCCCCCTGAGAACAATGCCGATTTCACCATAGACCGGGAGACCCCACGAGGACGTGCCGAAACATCTACATGTACACAAAATATAAACCTTGAGAACCTCCGGGTGCTGCTCATTTTCCTGACGTGGAAGCCCATGTAGGCGATTCCAGGTTAGTCTGGGAGAGCGTACCATCAATCCTCATTTTTGTTGCTGCTGCTCCTGCTGCAGCTAAACCCTAAACCCCAAATAGTAGGTTCCATTTTATTTTCCACTATCCCAATATATACTCCATAACCCCAATATGTACCCTATACAGCCCATTATAGTATTTTCCATTTTCTATTCTGCCCAATATAACCCTAATATTTGCTGTTTCTTCTTTGGCTGCCCTGACAGGACTTTTTCGCCCGCATGCTCCCCGAGCTAGCTCAGCATTTGGCCAAGGACCTGCAACCCGTAGTTCAGGGCTTAGGGTTTAGGGTTTAGGGATGAGGGTCAACATCCTACAACCCTTAAGCAGGGAACTAGGATGTAGGGTTTAAGGTTTTGGGTTTAGGGTTGTTTCGGGTTTAGTGTTTTAAAAAGTGTCAAGATGTCTTACGGGGCCCGAGGAGAGGTGTGGCTTGGACGAGTCGCTACAATCCAGATGCAAAAACATGGTTGTGGGGCTTGCCTGAACCTTCAAATCCAAATGCTGTATAATGCTGTATATACCCATGGTCGCTTCCTTCGGAGTCCTTGTACGCATAGTAGGGATTACTACATTATGCGGTCGTTTGGGGGATATGTATGTGCCGCAGACCCGGTTTTTGCAAAGCATCCCCTCTTGCATCCCGAATAGGAAGTGCGGGTGGGCGAAAAAATGTCCGGAATACATCCTCATGATTTTTTGGTCCATGTCATGCTTATGGCCCGTTTGAGGGAGGAACCCCTTGTTTGAAAAGTATCCAGTTACGCGTCCGGTAGGCATCCCGATGAGACAATGTCATGCCTACTGGTGTGAGATCCAAACCTTGAAAAGAATGTGTTCGTGATGTTTATCTGATTCTTGTGATCATTGCTGGAAAACGTTTTTGTTTCAATGGTGGCGGCTTCGTCTCCGAAACGCAAAGCTGAAAGGAGCTCAAAGACCCGACCGTCAAAAACCAGCTTCTGCCGGTAGTGAAGTCGCTGCACCAGCCCGAAGCCGAGTAAAGTCCCAGCATTTAGGGATGCATGTCAGGGGTTCCCAACATTAGGGGTACCATGTTTGGGGGTCCTTATAATAATGATTATAGTGTATTGGGGTCTATATTGGGTCCCCTTATTTTGGGAAACTACTATGTCAGAGTTTTACAGGGTTACATTGAAAATAAAATGATATACAGGGACATGTAAGGGTTTATGTAAGGGTTGTACAGGGTTACAGTCACATGAGCTGATATACCGGGATATGTAGGGTGTAGAATTGTTGATTGAAGGTACCCCAAGCGCTGGTACTTCTGTATACGCACTTGAACAAACACCAGAATGGAACATCATGGAATATTGTTGTTTCATTGCACTGGTGTTCGCATCAGGCACCATGTTGCAAGTGAAGTGAGTGCTGAGGACATGGAAGAACTCCCGCGCAAAACAGCAGAAGACGGTTGTTGGCTCAGTTTCTTCTCATGAGAACTCTTGCAGGTGACTGCCGGTTATGATGTGGTGATGTGGTTGTTGCCCGTTGGTGTTAATATGGGGTTCGCACAGTGGAGCAACACAACAAAAGCTGAAATGTTCAGGATCACGGCATGACAGACTCGTTTTTCTACCTGTACTTGCTTTTACAGTGGCTAGCAGCATGACCACCGCGGGTGGCATCACACTGCTGCCACAGCAACCCAAACTAGCAAGCATGTTGCCTTTTCGCATGTCCTGCAAGTCGTGATTGTCCCCACAGCCTTTCCGCATCGTTCGACGCGAGGACAGAGCGTGGAAAAATGCCCGAAGTAGCATGGTGCAATCTTGAGTCTTGCCCAGCATCAGCGCATGAATGGTGCGCTCGTAATCATGTGTTTGCTGCCCGCATCGTCGTAGCTGAGAGATTGCCTGCCGGCAGCTCACACTTGTTTAGCTGGTACTGTACCTCCGCAGCCTGTTTAGCGCAAGGTCCAGATTTCAAACTGTGGTTTAAGCTGTTTGTTGTTATTCCCAACCTTTTGGGGCAGTGGTTGCTGCGGTGATGGTGGTTGGACCAGCATGGACGCGGGGTGAGATGGAGCGCCCTGCAGGCAGAAAAAACATGGGGACATGGATAGCAGGAGTGTACACAGAGGAACAGCAGCGTCGGCTGGGAGTTGACGAATTCGGCCGACAGGTAGTTCCAGCACCAATGCGGGCAGCTGCAGGCGGAGTATACGCAGCAGTGGCCCAGCAGCCTGGCGCACAGCCAGAGGTGGAAGACATGGGGAACTGGAAGTTAACTCAATTTGGATATACTTCTGATCAGGAGGCCAGGCTCGGGGCTGACCATCACGAGCACTGCCCTCACTGCAATGGTTTGCCTGTGGCCCCTCCTACACTGACAAGCTCGCTGTCGAAAGCGCTGCTGAACTCTCCAGCTTTGCTCAATGGTCTTTGCAGCATGTACTTCCGGCGCTATGACACGAATCGCAACAATATCCTCGAACTCAACGAGGTGCACACTCTGTGCGATGACCTGCACATTGGTCTTGGCATGACTATGAGCGGAATCACTGCAGACGGCCTCAAGGCCTCCATTGGGAAGTTCAGCCGGGATGGAGCCGACGACAAGCTCTGTGCAGACGAATTTCCGCTCTGGTTCGCTGAAACGCTGAAGGAGAGCATCGAAGACCACCTGACAAAGGAGCAGGAGCAAGAAGCGGCTGGTTTCTTACCTGTGACGGTGAGATCAGACTGCAAACGAGCAAACATCCAGATCCCAGTTGCTCTTAGCATGCATGATGTCATAGAAGGAGTTGCAGCCGTGTTCGAGTTGCCGGCAGCCAAGACATGCTTGCTGCATGAAGGCAAGCAACTCCCCTCGGGTGAAACTCCGCTATCGGAACTTGCTTTGGGAGATCAAACAGAGCTTACCGCGGTCGTGGTTGGCAGATAGAAGCATCCCAATCCAAAGCAACTTGGCTATGTTGGCAGTGCTTCTGCTGACAGGGAAGAACAGGCAGCGTTCGAATGATGGCCTTGCGTGCCGCCATCTGTGCGGCGGCAAAAAGAGGGGGAGATATGTTCACTGTACAGGAGGAGCTTTAGTCTAGAGGTGAGTATGTTCCATGTTCCATGTACAGCACAAAAATGCTGGCAGAGAGTGCAAGGGATACGTTGAGTTTGCAGGATACGGAAAAAGGCCGAAGAAGGAGGACTTTCCCACTTTGTGCAGAATGTATGCTAATGTTATGCCCATGTCTCGCTTGATTGACAATCTCTGAACCAAATTGCTTCCTGCGTTCAAGCGTAGCTTGTCCGTCGCTGCATTGTTGGATGCCTGTTGCTTCTCCTGCTGCGGCGTTGGCTGCCTGCTGCTGTTGTCGTGGTTGGCGCGGTCTTACTACTAGCAGCGGGTTTTGCTGGCCTTTTGTCTCTGCATGTTGTCTACTGAACCTACGCGTCCAAGTCACTAGTCTGCGTCCGCTAGTCGCCCTGCAGCCTTAAGCCGCAGACCCTGAAGCCCTAAACTTACTTGTTCTTAAAAAAAAGCGAATAATATGTCGATATATATATATATGTATTTATGTAATGGTAGAGTGTCGTAAAGGTACCTAAACCGTGTGCCCGCAGTGCTGTTCAAAGGCTGCGGCTTTGGAAACGGCCGAGCGCGAAGCGGCGGAGGCTTCGGACAAGCTCGTCGAGTCGGGGGCCTAGCTGATGAAAGCTGGGTTTAGGGTTTAGGGTCTGAAACTGAGGTTTAGTTTCCCATATTGGGGATATATTGGGTTATATTGCGGTTATATTGGGTTATATTGGGGTTCTATGGGGATAATGGAAAAGAAAATGGAAACTATTATAGTGGGTTATATGGTAGTTTCCCAAAATAAGGGGACCCCAATATAGACTCCAATATACTAGGGTAAATACTGGTAGGGTTTTTAGGGAAAAGGGTTGGGGTCATTAGCGTCCCTCGTTGGGGTTCCCCATAAAAAGGATTGCAGTATATTGGGGTCCTTATTTGTGTTCCACTCCTGTATGGAAACTACAAGTAGGGGTGCTGCCGTACTAGGGTTTCGCATGAAAGGCATTGGGTTCAGAGTTTAGAGTTTCGCAAAACATTGCTGCGCTTGAAGATCCTACCCCAGGGATCCAAATAGCCGGCCCAATGTCTACTTGGATCCCTAGGGCTAGGGATACATGATAATTAACTACAACGGGGTCCCCTGCACTTTTGGCATCCCCAGCCACTCGCAGGTTCCCTGGCCCTCATGTGAGCTATAGTCTAAATTCCTAGTATCCCCCTTATAGTACTCCCTTGTATGGTCCCCTAAATAACAACCCTTCAGGAGTTAACACTATAGCTCATGTGGGTGTTTTTGCTTTTAATCCCTTGCACAGATCCCCATAACCATCTCATGATCCCCCTCTATCCCAGGAGTTTCTAGGGTACCCTGTTTTGAGACACTTTCGCATGGGAGTCAGCTTCCGGGAATGGATCTGTTGGGCCCTGCCCAATAGCGGGCAATTAGAAAGCAGCGGAAAACATTGTTTAAAGGGGGTTGAATGCGAATTGGTTTGGTCCCTCTTGGGTGCACGTAGATTCAGATTTTTGTTTTTTCGTGCTTAAGGCCAGAATACTTGATAGCATGACCTTCCCTTATAGGCATCCAAAGTCTAGTCATCATCAGGATCCCGTAGGCTGAGTAGACTAAGCACTTTTCGTGATGGGAGCTCAGCATACGGACCGTTTCTCTAAACCAGCAAATTCCTCGGCAAGGACTAGGGGGCTGATTGTTCAACTCTGCAAACTTGACCAACACGAATCTCCTGACCTTATTCCAGAACTCATGTCTACCATAGAACAGCCTACATCATGGTGGCTTGGGATTAAACCAGATAATTCTTCGCGACATTGAGGATGGAAGCGTCCCGGCAAAAAGACAAGGCACTGGGTAGATCTTCATAATCCTCCCCCAAATATCAAACCTCTAGCCGCCCACCTATGCCCACCTAATAACAAATCTTCCCAACACTAGCAACATGAAACATATCCATTATTAGAGGCTGGGGGGATCAATATTTGGGGGTGCTACCGTAGCTTCCCTGGTTCAAAGGCTAGGCATTATAGCCATTGTTTGAGGAGACTGTTGGTCTTGTCTTTTTAGCACGAGCGCCAACATAAACATGTGATGATTACTATAGTAATAACCCAGACCCCCTAAAGGATCCAAAAAATGGAACCCCCCCAATACGAACCCATTACTACATTGGGGAAATAGGGGGGATTATTAAGGGGTTCCATTTTTTGGATCCCTTAGGGGGTCTGGGAATACGGTGCAGCGGGCTCAGCTCTCAAAGTTGGTCCTCTAGAATCTTACATAGGGGTTATATGAGCTGTAGTCTAAACTCCTTAAATAGGGGTTGTATAGGAGATGATATGGGGGACTACTATAGGGGCTATTAAGGGGGATACTAGGAGTTTAGACTGTGGGTTATAAATAGGGGTTAGGTGGACGCCCCACCCAGTGATAGTCACTATAAGGGATAATAGGGATTATATTAGGGTCCTCTTAGATTCCTGTTGTACCACTATTACAGGGTGGGGGGTCCACCTAAGATAGGGGTTATATGGGGATAATGGAAACGAAAATGGAAATTGCCATATATCGTTTAGGGTTTAGGGTTTAGTGGCCTTTGGTCAGCCAGGAATGAAGTAATGGATCCTTATAGTCCTATACTAGTCCCTATATAAGCCAGGCCCATTAAAGTAGTTTCCACTTTTTTGATCTTTTTTGGTTTCCATTCCTTCATTCCCAGCCAACCAACGGCCGGGAATGCAGGGCTTCGTGCGAGCTGCCAGGAGGGTCCGCGATAATTTGCTAGACGTAGCTGCCAACCCAAACTCCTAAACCCCAAATGGGGATTTCCCAATTTTGGGATACCATTTTTGGGGGCCCCTATAATAAGGAGTCTAATGTTTGGGTTCTATATGAGAGTCCCCTTATTTATGGAAACGACCAAATCCTAAATGCTTATGTACAGCCCAGCCAGAGGCTGCTGATATTCGTCGAGGGCGGGGAAATCGCATGCGGAAGGTCTTGGGGGGTTACGCGCGGGGCACCCCAACCCATATTGAGGCTAGGCGAGGCTTGCCAGCTTTCTCGCGTTAAGTCCCCACAGTCCCACCCACGCTGCCCATGAGCCTCCAAACAGCTACCTAAGGCATGTGAAAATGCTTGACTCGTTTAGCATCCCTGACTGAAGCCTTAGGAGCCCAGTTTACTTATATCTTGAGTTGTTGCAGCCTTCTCAGTAATAGCGAGCGTGGGCGAGTAATAGCGCAATTGGGGGGTCACAATGCGCACGTATCATTTGAGGTAGTTCACAGTATCTTGCCTACTTGATTACTCAGTACAGCGTATTCAAGAATATTTCTAAGAATCCTTATAGATGTCCTGGCACCTTGTGTATGCGGACGTCAGATTTCGCGGTAAAAGGGTTTGAAGCAGGACCTCGCAAGGCCCTACATCGTCAAAATGTAAGATTTAAACTGCAGGTTGCACGTCGAATGTCTTTTGGAAAAGAACATGGAGGCTTCCTCAACTTCCTGTATGGGGAGAGGGGAATTGAAGGGGGGAAGTCAAACGAGATGTCCTTGGAAAAGGGCAGGGGGGAGAGGGGGAGAGGGTGCAAAGAACTTCAGATTTTTCTGCCAAGGGGGCAGACCGGGCCAACTCGGTGGGCAAGGACGTCGGATTTCATGGCAGCGCCAGCAGCTAGGGAGAGAATGCCCATGTAATATACACACTGTCACTGCGCCTTTTCTTATGCGCCATTGCTGAGCCCAGATGAAAAAGGGTACCTGAGCTGCTAAGGAATTTGGACGATGCTTTGACTTGGTAAGACTACCTACTGTCCCGAACAACCTCCATTATCGGCCCCGCGAGATGTATTAATAGACTAAGTCAGGAGAGCTTCAGCTTCCAAGAAGGGTGTAGTCCCCCTTAAATAGATAGAACATGGCTTTGGGTATTATATTATACTAAGACCCCATATACCCCATATTCTATCTACCTGGGGGACTATGAACCCTAAACCCTGAATAGCAGTTTCCATTTTCTTTTCCACTATCCCTATATAACCCCTATATGGCCCTAACATAACCTACTATACTTTAAGGTGGAGAAGGGTACCTATAATAGCCTCTATATAACCCTAATACAACCATAGTTAAGGGGGACTATACAGCTTCCACCTAAACCCTAAACCCTCAACCCTCAACCCTAAACCCTAAACCCCAAAAAAGTGGGCAGGATGCTATGGAGGCCAAGGTCAGGAGCTAAGAATGTCCACGCTGATAAAGTTCAGGGCTCAAAGTTTAGGGCTTTGGGTTTGGGCCTTACAGTTTAGGCTTTAGGTTTGGACAAAAAGTTTAGAGCTTGGGTTAGGAGCCTAAAGTTTAGGGCTTTGGTATGGGAATTAGGAATTAGGGTAGGTTCTTTTTGGGGTTAGGGGTACCTGGGTGTAAGGTTGGGCCCACATACCAAAGAAACGGAAGGGGTGTAGGAGTAGCTAGGGTTACAGTTTCTGGGAACAATGTAGAGTCTAGGAGTCTCAGAGGCAAACGTGAGAGTACCCTTTGTACCCTTTTTTCTGGCATTTTGGGTGCATCAGGCAGAGCCAGCCACTTGCCTTGGGAATTTCAGGCTAGGGCTAGGGAGTTCAAAGGTGTTCTTGCCCCACCGCGCAGAAGCAGTTGTTAGGAATTTAGGTGCCACTGTGTAGGGCATGTACTCATTTGGGGGAGTGGGGCCTTTCATTATTGGAGAAAACAATCAGGGTTCAGTGAGGATCCCAACAATTGGGGGATATTGCGGGGACCCGAAAGTGTTTGGGAAACCTGCCCTAAACCCTGATGGTGGGCGGCGCCTATGTCCCTCGACATCCCTCACA